AAGAAATAAAATAAAATAATAATACGGTGAAATTCATAAAGCTTTTTAAAATTCAAAAAAGGAAAAACAAGATTTTAACAAAGCTTTCTACATCACAAGCAGTCAACAATATGCAAATCACAAAATTGTTTTTTTTCCTTTGTTCACATATCTGTTAGCTAATCTTTAAAGCCATCTTATTCGCAAAAAAAGAAAACCATAAGAAAATTTTCTTTTGAAATAAAAATAAATTTTTAGATAATTTTTGATCAACTAATGTTTTGGAGGAACCACCCAGATTGGCAAAGGAGAACTTGCCAGTGTTGGATCGACAATATCAAGAATCGCCTTCGCCTTGCTTCACCACCCCCTTCTTTTATTAAGTATTCGCTTTGAATATATTCGCTTTTATTTCGAACCTATTAAAAACCTATTTTTCATTTATTATAGTAAAATATATTATATAAATAAAGATTTCAATTCACGGTCGCAGGAGTACATTCTCTTTCCGAAAAAGTTTTTGGTGCCACGAGCCGGAAACATGATGACAAGCTTAACGAAAACCTGCAATAACAAAACTAACTAAACTCCTGAGTGAAATAAGAAATTTAGATTTATCGCCACCGAATCTGTCCCACTGTGCTGCTGTCGTTATAATTCTTCGAAGCATCCGATGGTCAGGATTCCTGATATTTGGGCTTTGGCACCTTTTTCAGAGCGAATCGAGGTTTTTCGTATTTAACAATCATTATGCCATCTCGTCATGAATTACCCGAGGCACCACAGTGATGTACCCAATACCTGTGCTCAAATTTAATGATTACTCGAGAGCCGACATGAGGAAGATGGATCTCTGACAAATAAACCACATCCACATGGCATTCAGATAGGATGTAGGCAGTGATTGCTTGGCTTGAAACGTCCATAAATGTTTTGACGTTCCAATAATAAATTTTTTGTGCAAAAAATGATTTTTCAGCTTTAAAAGCTTTATCAGCATTTTCAAAATAAGTTCAAATTTTTTTCCAGCTAGTGGTGATGAATATCATTTTAACTAGAAACAGGGACAGACTGAATAGTGGTATGGTTTTTTGTTTTGATTAAGGCCAAAATTCACGATTCCAATCTTTTAGCAAAAATAAACTTGCCATTAAAAGTGAAATCCGATTGGTGTTAGCGATCCACTTATCGCCACGTAATTCCCTGGCGGAATTGGTGCTGCAGCCAGTGAAGTAAGCAAAACCAGAAATGTTGAATGATATCAGGAGAAGAACTCAAGAAAATTATATTTAATGCTATATCGGTGTCGAAGCACTTATTCTTTATTTAATACTAAGTTTATTAATATTGCTTATTATTTAATATTTTTTATTACTCTTTTCGTAAAAATTATGACAAAAAAACCCGAGAATTGTTTATTTTTGTATTTTTGTTGATTTGGAAAAAACTATTGTTAGGGATCCAAATATTTCTTTGTATTCAGCATTCATACAAAATAAAAAAAATTCGGCCATTTACAGGTTCTCTCAACAATGCTATAGCAATTACGAAAAATTGAGTTGTTTAGTAAATGCAAGTTCGTTTGCTTAGTGCCAGTCACTTAATTCTTCCATTTTGGCGATTTTGTTGGTAAAAATAGTTTTTTGCAAAAAATCAATTTATAAAATTGCTAATGAGATTGTAAAATTATCGATTTTATATTTTTAAACTATCAACTAAAATTATAAAATCATCCATTCCAAAACTTTTGTTGATAAACTGTATTTTTGCCATTTAGTGTTAGTTGGTTGAACTGTTTATTTATTTTATTCTGATTGTTAACAAAAATAAAAAATAGTCATGAATGCAAACAATCTCTTTTTTCAGAAATAAATAAAATCATGCCCGTTCATGCAGCATGGGAATCGCCCTTATTGCATGATATGTTCGAGCCATGTTTCCTCCTTCCAGTATTCTTATATTTATTTATGTTCATACTTCATGCCATTAGACCGGTAATAACGTCTTGGCTTTGGAGGGGTCATACCGGATTTCAGTATGATTTATGATTTTTGTATAATTGATATATATATATATAATATATTGTAACAACTTCGGCAAACATGTCCTTGAGTCTTGCCTTTACGGCTTGCATACTACGAATGATTGAGGCCCATGCATCATAAAACAATACTGTAAGATTGCTGAAGTTTCGTTTGTTCGCACCAATAAGACCTGAACTGATGCAATGAGGAAAGATTTTGAACTTATGTGGACTATCGATATATGAATATATGGGCGATGGGAATGCCTTTTATTATAGTCAGCGATGCCGTCGGATCGAAGAGCTTGGAGGCATCTTACCCTTGTAGCCAGCGGAGCCAACCTAACCAGTAATGGTGAGAGTTGTACCGTTAGAAGAAGAACATTATCATACTGACAAATTATATAAGTTCAACTCCAAGAATATATTATATTAAAATATTATAATATATTAAACCAAAACTTTTGTATTTTATGGGCCATTTTTATCCAATTGATATGCGTTGATTCTAAAATTCTAAATGCTTAAAAAGAAATGCATTCAAAGAATTGCATTGCATATAGTCAAATAAACGCATATATTAAGGTATTTATGGTAAAATATGATGCAGATGCATATGATGCAGATGCATATTTTTCATATATAACCAAAGGAAATTGGCTCATATTCATCAAAATATAGAAAAAAAATATTTTTAATAAAATTAGGCTAAAAATGCCATAAGCAAAATTATTACAATATACTTATTTCAAATGATTAAATAAAAACTATTAGAAATCAAAAATTTGTCAAATTGTATTTGACAATTTAAATGAAACGCTTTAATAATGATAAAATTCCAATGATAATAAATTTACAACATGATGCTTGGTTAGTTACTACAGCAACTCATCGAATAATGGTCTCTTTCCGCTATTTTGAAGCATTCACCAAATCTGGTTTCGCTAGCTTCACTGGCATTTAGAATAAGTGCTTTTGCAAGAGAGTCACTTGGAGGCAGAAGCACCAAATTTTTCAACACCACCTGAATTTCATTTATAGTGGTAGATGCATTCATCAAAAAATGTAATTCATGAAATTTCTCAGTCAAAACAATTTATCTCCTTCATAATTAACAAGAATTCTTGTAAGTTATTCATGCTCTTGTAACTAAACAGGATATTAAACAAATATTACAAAGATAAATAATGTACGTGCCTATTAAATAATGCCTATTAAACAATAGAAGTTATCATCGAAGGTTTCTCAAGTTCACTTCCTTTTTTCGGTCCTCAGTGAAGTCGAAAATTCAAAGATAAAAAAAGGGGACGTTGCGAGAAATATGATATCATTACTGGGAGAATATGACAACATTGCTGTCAGCTGCGCGTAGCCATGACTTATAAGACCATAACATGTTAATATTTGTTTACATCAATATTTTGATATTTTTAATGATAATCAGTAAATTACATCATAAACATCGAGGGCAAAACAATAAAAAAAAATACAATCGAATTTTTTTCTCAAATATAAAACTGATAAAAGTAATTAGCTGTTTTTTGTATCCTCCATTATACGAATGGATACCTGATCATCCCTGTAAAAATTTATGTTGCTTAGAAAAAAGCTCGCAATAATCCAAAAATTCAAAACAAATTTATTTAATAAAACAATATGAACAACATGACCAGTAGAATAGCTCTTATTTCGGAGCGCCAATACTGCCCATCTACTTTCTGCATAAGTTTACTGATGTCAACAATTTACCTGCACTTTTGTCATCGACTAGATCTCTGGCAAAATTTGCCTTGTCGGACAAATTAGCGTACCTAACCAGAAAAAAATATTGAATATAACATTAAGTACTATGCTTTTTTCTCTTTCTTTACGTTTTATTCATGTTCTATTCACATATATTACTCACTGCTTTGACTTCATTTGCTAACTCTGGCACATAGCTTTGTGCAGTTTGTACTTGAAAAATATATATATGTATACAAAAAGAAAACTTTTTTTTCATCCCCTATGAGCAGTAAGGATTCTCCTCAACCACGAGTCTCCGAAGCCTAGGAGTTTGAGGGTTCCGCGCAGTATCTTAGCGGTTCCTTATAATGCGTTCTTCTGGATATAAATCTTTGATATTGTTCCTGAAATCTGTTGAAGGCACTTTTCTAGTTAGGTGCTACAGTTATCACTGAAATTACTTCGGCCTTTACTTTCCACATCATCTCTAGCTGTTCCAGCAGCCTTTGGAATTCCTCTAACTTCTCATATTCTTTCTTCCTGACGCTCCTGTCACTTGACATGGCTATATGTATCACCAGTGCTGATTTCTGATCGTTGTCTACTACCACGATATCTGGTCAATACTTGTTTTTCTGAATGGGTAAGTCCGAAGCTATGGAAAGTAAAGGTCAAAGCAATTCCAGTGATAATTGGAGCACTTCGAACTATGACACCTAAACTAGAAAAGTGGCTTCAACAGATTCCAGGAACAACATCAGATAAGGCACTATTAGGAACAGCTAAGATACTGCGCAGAACCTTCAATCTCCCAGGCTTATGGTGAAGGTCCTAAGATTGAAGATGATCATGACCACCAGCAGAGAGTGAGAAAAAAAGTTGACAAATTAGCATTGGCGCTCGTCAGGATTGGATTAAAGTAAATTATGGGCAAAATGGAGTGGGAATTATTACAGGCAAAATACTTATAATTTTTGCTTGAAAAATTTTATTTGATTACATCAAATTAAACTGTACTAATTATTATCAGTTTAACTTAAACCTTGTTAAAAACAATGAACCAATGAAATTACGTAAGCCTATTTGTGGAACCAATATGTCTCACAATTTTTCCATTAGAAATAATAAACTGGAACAAGTTACCATATTATTCTATCAACCTTCAGTTTTAATAGGATTCTTAACAATGGTGTTTATACAACATCTTATAAAAGTCCCATTCTTTCTCCTTTTTCATTTTCTGCATTTTTATCCAATTTTTATTTCCATCTGTTTATTTCAACCTTGTTCTAACGTCTTGATTGGTTTCAACAAATGGACAATTCAAAACAAACCTATTAATCGCAATGTGTGATCGACCATATTCACCAAGAAACCCATCGGAAGCGAGAATCCGGGAAAACAAGATAATATTAAGGACAAAAAAGAATGATCCGCCACCAGCAGCCACAAATAAATAATATAAGTGAAAACTATGACAGTTTACCAAAGCCCAATGTATCTGCCAAATTTGTACCGCGAACCGGAATATTAAAAACCTGCAACATCCTAAGATTACTTTTTTTTCATTTTTCCAGGCAAACAACTTTTTTCGAAGAATTCAATCTATTCGTGTAATAACTGAAAATGTATAGCCCAAAGCGATTATTTCACTCACAATAATGTGGATAATGTTAAATTATGATAATTTGCTCTCAATTAGATAATTGAATAGATAATTTATTTTTAGGGAAATACTGTGGATTACAAAAAAAATGCTATGATTAAACAAAAAAATTTGGAATATCATTCAGTGGAGATGATAACATCATTTGATGCCATATCCAATAGATGGCATAAACGATCACGGCAAATATGGAAGTAGCAGATAAGTCATTTTAGGCTATTTTAAACGATTATATTTCAAATTGAAAAATTAAAAATAGAGGCAAACTAACGTCAATAAGTTAGTATAGCGAATCAACTGAAATAACCGTGATTTAATTAAACCATAACCAGTAATCTGCATTAATGACCGAAGGTGCAAGAAAATACTGAAATTAATGAATCGAATAAAAGCAAATGAATCCAAAGTGCTCAATAATAAGTGAAATGAAAAACCATAAAATTATAAAGTGATACGAGCAGCAACTACAAACTCCAACATATTTGGTAATTATTTTCATTTCAATTTAATTCGAACGAAAATAACCTGTTAACCTCCATAAGAAGTGCCCAGTAAGCATAAGGAATGAATTTACGAGGAAGTATTGCAGATAAAAAAACCAAAATACTTCCTAAGTGGTGGATGAGAAGTTCAATAGTCCACCTCGACAGTTCGTGCCTTAACATATCAAGTGAATCACATACAAAATAAGCTGAAAAATTGAAATCTTCGAATATTTACTTATTTATATTTATCACTTTTCACTTATCACTTATATTTATCACTTTTTCGAATATTTCTCTGAATTGCCGATTCTTCAAAGAATGAAAAGAATTTATTTAAATCATCACAAAAATGCAAAAATTTTTCACAATAAATTTTTAACAGTTGATACCAGTTTCTAAATTTTCGCTTTCAGGGAATATCTAATAAAAAAGAAATGAACTGACCAACGGATAATATAGGTAAATGAGTGGCCCATGAACGGTACCAATGCAAAGTATCTTTGAACATCACTGTAGGATTGAAAATCATGAAAATAAATGACCAACCGCCACTGATCATGGAATGTATGAGGCAGACTGTAAGATTTCTCAGCCGATATTGCCTGATAATTAATTAAAATTTTGATTTTAATTCTCTGTTAATTTATTGAATATTAATATTTCAAATTTTATAAATTTTAAAGATAAATTTCTTAAATATCTAATTTATATCACTTAAAACATAGTTAATATATATCTAATATATCAGTTAAACATTTCAAAGAAAATATGTTGAAATTAATCGTCGACAATAATAAATAAGTAAATAAAGTGGTTAGCACACTAGTTGCTTTCTCCGCTGGTTGATAGCAGACTTAAAAAAATTCGTTAAGAAGTTATATGGTGATACAAGCACTGGTGGATGGCTAGCAACAAGGATTTAATGACAAATTTGGTCTTAATGAAGATAGGAACCGAACTGCCCTCTTAATATAATAATCTAAACCGCTGTTCTCGTACCTATAGTGTTTGCTTGATAGTACTTGTTCATCCGTTTGCGTGAAAAAAATCCTTCATTCTTATCACATCTGTATATAAAGAGCTTATTTTAAAAAAACATCTATTTAAAACAATTTTACAAATACAAACCTAAAACCGGAATAATTTTTCCACGCGTATTTTCGAATGTAATAACCAATTGTTTGAAATAAAATAAAATAGAGAAAAAATGGTATTCGAAATGAAGCATTAAATATATCTGCAAAGGGTGGTAATCGCATTTCCGATTTTATATTTTTATCAAAATCTGTTGATAATCTCATGCTAAAACTAAATTTTTTTTTACACTTATCGAACATTTAATGAACAAAACAAACTGTGAAATTTTAATGGTTCACAAAAATTGATGATAACGGTGATTAAAAAAAGGGCCGAAATTATTCAGAAATGATGATTGTTTAATTTACGAATTCAGCAAACCAATCATAGTTAATTAAATAATAAATAATGATAAACAATTAATAATAATGATAACACTAATAAAAATATAGCAACAATAGTAATATAATAATATAGTAATAGTATAATAATATAATTATAATAATAATAATTAATAGTAATAATAACAATTGATAATATGATAGCGAATAAATAATAATGATTTAAAGATTGGAGCCTTGGAGATAATATACTTTTTTTAAGTGCCTAAAATATACTGAAAAATATGTATGAATGAAAAATATATCATTAATAAAACAAATTTTTAAGTTGAAAAAAAAAGTATGAAACATAAGTAAAAAATTTTTTAAGTAGAAAAATTTTTATATAAATAGAAAATAAATTACAAATGACATATAAATGACCTCCAAGAAATAGAACTAAATGACAATAATAATTAAGAAGAAATAAAAACAAAACTTTTAAAGGTTTCTCGCAAAGTTTTTCAATAGATGAAGAAATTCCCACAGATTAAGGAGTTTAATGTCGTTTCAAAAGAAAACAGGGCTTAAAAAAGAAAAACAATAGACGGTGGAAGAGTGATTAGCGAAAAATACGAGCAATGAGCAAGCATTTTTTTGTAGAGTCAAATAGTAAGGAAAAACTTTCGAAGAAAAACTTTTTTAGCTTTCAAAGAAAATTCGATGTGTATCGAGGAAAAGTAAAGACAAATAGAGGAAGTAAGAAAAGCTGAATCTATCCTCTTATTTTTCTAAAATAAAATGAAAAAATCCGTGTAAATTGAAACGATGTTAAAATTTGCGAAATGATACAATTATAGAAAAAGAAAATTTACGCCAAAAACATTTAGATAAATACTTAACGTTTTTAGCATTTTTAGCATTTTTTGTGAAATTGGCCATGAATTAAACACACACGTCTTCAAGGTAAAAACCGACTTTTCATGCATCTTTTAAATAGCACCAGCATTCGAAATGAATCATAAATTAAGGAAAGCTCACATTTTATTTTTTTCAAATAGTTTTTTGCATTTAAGTAAGCTGGCTAAACACAGTTCTGTGAAAAATAGCGATGTGCTTTTCCGTTTCCTGAATTTATGAAAGATTTCAAGATTTCTGGAAAAATCACCAACATTTTGGTATTTGCTCTAATTTCAGTGACAAAAATACATTACTTAGGATTTTCAACTGGAACGCATTAGAAATTCGCTGAAAAAAAATTGATCTTGACTCTTTACTCCATTTTTATAAGAAAATATCCCTCGTTTCACAATCTGGCTTATTGATCTTATTGCTTTTTGGCAGTATGCATATTTATAAGCAATTTTTTCCTAGAATGAAAAACAGAAAATTTTACTTACAGGAGAACTGCACTTACTTACCAGACTGATTCAACAGTTTCATAAAAACGTCAAATCTCCCACTAGGTTTATGTTGCCCATTTTCTTTCAATTTTATAATAATTATATATACACAAAAAATAAATGAAATTTTTGCTGATGGGCAGATTATTGGGCGGTAATTGGATGGTATGTTCCTTTATGAGGGTCTTTCATGATCAATGCCGTTCTTCCTTGTATTAACCAGTCTGGATTAGGTCTGGTACAAACAGTTGGTTCGCCTAAGTTGCTAGACGCTCATGAACCGCTGTTAACTTCTTTAGCCAGTAGGTGCGGATAATGTCCGGACCAAGTGTGGATTACATTCCGATCAAACTCCAAGTTTCCATGTTTTTGAATTGGTGTTGGACGACTGTGATGGTGGCCGGTTCCTACTCTGGGAGGCTGCTGTGATTTCTTCTTGCAGTTTTATTTTTTTTAGCCTCTGTTTCTCCAGTATATCTCCTTAACCTAATGGCCAGTACTCAGCTTTTATTTGACAGTCTCGAGCACTTCTGATGGAGTGTAGCCATTGTATTTTCCCAGCATCCGGTTACTTATTTTAAATCCTCACACCTTTCTGTAATTCTGTCAGCTGGCTAATTTTTCTTCAAAATATTTATTTCATTCTTAAATTCCTCGTTGACCTTAGTGAATGTTTCGATAGACCTTATTTGATACGAAATTATATCTTACTGCTTCTCATATTGCTCAGTAATAGAGATCAGTTGTGTTGTCTCAAGTTCTCGATAGTTATATACATCTTTAGTTGACAGGACCTCATTACTTGCCATTTTTGAAGCCATTTTGAATAGGTGTCCCATGTAAATAATCTCCTTTATATTTATAAGCTCGGTATAAGACGATAGAAGCTAAATACTTTTGAAGAAAGATTGCCTTTTAGATAAGTACGATATGGCGAATAATGCATTCCTTTTATCTTTTTGGTATGCAATAAAAAATAATGGCTTATTGACAAGAAAGAATAATCGACACAACAGCTCACCAGAATGACAAATTGATTGTAACAATCGATATTTTCAAACGCATATTTTTCATTAATATATGAGCAGTGCGAAAACTCAAATCATATGGCAAAAAATAACGTTTTGCAACCAAAGTAAAAGCGCCATCATATTTGCTATATAACTTAAGATTTGCTAAAAAAATTTAATTCATGATCTGGCACATATTATTCTCATGCAGTCTTACTTCGCTTGAAATTGAGAAAAAGATATTGAAACTGGAAAAAATCGTTAGAATTAATCGTTAAATCGTTAAATGTTAAATTTCTATTCAAGAAAATTTTGACAGTAGACACTTTGCCCGCGCTCTTATGATCCTGACGTTTTAAGTGCACCAAAAATGGTATTAGTTCATCATCAGGGTGGCTGGACCATATATGAAAAAAAACAAATCACAAAATTTATTTGGATGGGCCTGCATTTTACAACAGTGGGTAATCAAACAAAAGTGTTTAGAAAATTTAATTCAAGGTTTGAAATAATTTTAGTTAAATAAAAAAGATAATTCGCTTTAATTTTTGCAAGTAGTTGGATTTTAGCTGATTTAGCTTACAGTTAATCTTATTTAATATCACACCAGAAATATCGAACAAAGTATCAAATTCTCAGCGAACTTTTTCTGATTATTAATAAAATCATTTCAATCATTACATTTCATTCAAGATGTTTGTGCCGAAAAGGATATCATGGAAGATTTTGCCACTTACAAAAGACGGCATGTGAGTATTCACTTGATTTATGTGGGCCAGCTGGTCATTGTATACCATCGCCTTCATCATCTTCATATAACGATGATATTTCTATCCTCAAGTAAAAAATGAATTAAAAATAAATATCATTATTATCTGTTGTCATATTATGCATTATGCCTTGACTGGTGCTTCACTCTTGCTATGTTTTATTCAATCTAATGGCAACACTAAAAATTATCTATTGTCTATGAAAAGGCCTTCGCATCTTCGGCAAAAAAAAATTATTTTCTAGGAAGGATATCGATGCATTTGTGAATGGGGCTATAGATCAACAACTAATACATCCAATCCTTATTGTGAAGATGTCGATGAATGTTCAGCAAACCCATGCTTTCCTGGCTCAGCGTGTATTAATGTTCCTGGATCATTTATCTATATACTTCTGTACAAGCAACTTACCATCGAAACTTCATAAATGAACATGAACTTAGTCAAAAATAAAGAATGTATGAGTAATTTGCATATGTTGGTGGTGTCTGTGCGTGCTACCTAGGCAAAACGTGGTAACAACGCCAAAGCAAGTAAAAATGTATTATTTGAAGACCTCAAGTGCTTTGTATTTTTATATATAAATAATAAAAACATTATTTTCTCAAGATACATATTTTTAATGCTTTTTTTTAAATATTTTTCTTTTCTTTTACTTTTTTTTCAACCACTTCGCTGCTATCCAAGGCTATGCGCAATTGAAGGAAACATTGGTGATGGGCATATCTGTGAATTAATAAATCCATGCAATCTCCACCCATGTTATCCCGACGCAATTTGTTACAATATGAAGGACTATGGAGCTTGAGATGGTGGTTATCCTTGTGAATGCCCTAAAGGAATGATTGGCGATGGAATCAGTGATGAAGGAATATCAAATGCTTTGGCCAAGTCAAGGCAGGCTAATATTATTTTTTTAATAAAAAGAATAGGAAAATTATTTTTACTATTAGATACTATTTTTAGACTATTACTATCCCTATTTTACTAAAAGTAATACTATTTTACTAATACTAATACTACTGATGCTATTTTTACTTCCCATTAACAATAGTTTCAGACCAATCGGAAATGTTTGCCAATATTTGTGGAGTGGATTCTTTCGAGCAAAAACCATGCTGATAGGAAAATATTAAATTTTTGGCATCAAGATAACTTAGTAACTTGTTGTAAATCAGTCTCTCCAATACTCTACTATCAACGTACTTTAAGCTAATAGGCTATAATTAAAATATGAGTATTTCCTTTTTATAAATGGGAATTACATGGGAAAATTTCCAAATTCTTGGATTTGGCCATACCTTATAATGTTCTTGTATATTAAAAACAGTGGAAGAGTCAGAGAGCACATTTTTTATATATATTATATATTATAATTTTATATATATATTATAATATTTGTGGAAGTTTATATATATATATATATATATATATGCGTTTACATCAGAGATTTCTATCCAAAACAATGTACACCAATTGTTTTGTTAAATTCAGAAAATTTTTGAAAGAGTGACTTACGTTCTCGCCGATGGTTTCACGAATTGATGCTAGAATTTACAATAAGTTGAAAGTTTTATTACTATCCAGATAGCAATATAATAAAACGACGTGTGAAAATATATATATATACTAAGCAAATAAAAAAATACGAAGAAAAATGACGGGCACCATGAATCAAGCTAACGCTAAACACTGACACTGCGAATGAATCAAGAGATGAAAAATGACCCCACAAAATGAAGTGAACGATGAAAAAAAATGACCAGACGAAAAGATGAAAACGATGAAAACTGACACGACAGAACGAAGCAAACGATGAAAACACTTATAATTTTATGATACAATTATTTCTGAATTTTCGACACTCCCGACTGAGAGAAAATTTTTGCTTTGGGGAGTATAATTAAAAATATCCATTTGGTTTGGTTTTAATAAGTGCATTTTGTTCTTGTTGGTTTTTAATGAGACAACTAATTTAATTTCAGTCGGATTTGTCGTTTGATTTGAACTAGGTTCAACAAGCTCTCGTCTTCCTCGTGCTCCTCTGGTTCGGAGAGCAATTGATTCCTCTAGTTTATCCTTTGTTGTTGTTGTTTAGACTTCTTCACTGTCCTCTTCATTTACTTCCAGTGGATAAAGTAAGTTGAATGGTCGATTGAAGAGTTTTCCATTAACGGTTTGCACCATTACACTTCTCATCCTTCCATCTCTTCCGATAATAAGTTCTTGAATTTTTACTAACTTCGATATATCCCTTGATAGTCTAGGCCCATTTAACAAGGTTATTTCACCAGGACATGGATTTGAGATGTATTGGACCAATATTTAACTAATTTATCTTTAGTATTCAATGGGTGGGAAATTCATCTTGCATACTACCTTCATCTGTTTGGTATATCTAATGAAACGTTGGGCATAATGAAATCAATAGGTCTTATAATTTTGTAATCATCAAAATTTAAGTGAGTTAATGGACAAATATTAAGTATTCCTTCAATTTCCACTTTTAATGTGATTAATTCTCTTTCCCATAAAAGTTTCCTATCTAATGCTCTTCTGGGAGCTTCCTTTCATTCTTTCATAAACACCTCCGCTCCATAATTCTTTCGGTATAATATTTTTCCATATCATCCTTTTGAAGCCAGAAAATTTCTTTGAAAAACTTTGATCCATAATAGTTTTGAATCAAATTTAGGATATCCGCGTCGCGATACAAATCTGCGAAACACATGCATGAATATTTCTGCTAATAAATTTTCTACAAGTT